GAAGCAACACACAAAAAACGTTTTTCGATGCGTTAAGATGGGAAGAAGAAATTTCCTGAGTCCAAGAAAGAAAATCAAGTGGTATGACACCAAAAGAATCACATACAAAAATGTGAATATTGATTGGTCGATAAAAATGCTGAATAATTGTTGATGCACATCACGAAGTCATATAACTCAAAGCAGAATCACTGACGCTCAGATTTGGTGGACTCTATGACTCTGACTTTGCCAAATCCAATAATATCAATCATGATGAAGAAACGCAAAACAAACAAATCTCACTCTACTTCACATAATCACATCTTTGATTTTTTAGCCATTCCATTCTTTTTTACTGTTACTTGTGTTTGATTTGCATATGCTTGATTTGCGTTGCAACACATGGGTTTAGTTAAGGACTTCAAGTGGTATCCATATGTGATGTTTTGAAAGGGAAACTATCTGAAGATAAATGCAAATTCTTTTTTTTTAAGAGAGTAGTAGTAAATTAAAGATTTTATATTTCCAAAAAAAAAAAATGGTTAGTGGCAGAGCTGTCCCTGAACTTATGAAGGCCATAAGCTAAAAAGAAAATTTGGCCGAAAGATCATGTTGGACTAGGACATTATGCAAAGAGAGGACCGGAAATATTTATATATTTATCAGGATAGCAAACCAATCTTGCTTTGCTTTCATTAAGAGTAAAATTTTGTAATCATTTTAAGCATTTATTTGATTATAAAGAAAACAAAATAGAAAGTGAGGGAGTTTCACTTTCACACTTCCGCTTTATAAAACTCATTTTTTTGGCATTTGTTTTGATTATGTCAAAAACGGCACAAATAAACTTATTGATTTATTTTGGGTTAAGAAAATGATTAAGAAAAAAACAAAATCTTCCAATTAAATTTTACCGGGGAAATAAAACGTTTGGGTGGTGCTGACGTGTCGTCTGGATCTAGTAAATTAGAGTCTTTGACGTGTTTACCCTCGGTCTTATGCCAACTTCGCTTATGCGGAGAAGGGTATAATGGGAAATGGAATCTTAGTTTCCCATTATACCCTCGAATGAAGCGACAAATTTCACTTAAGTTATACATATATGATCTTCTTCTCCGTCTTCGATCAAAACAAAATTTCCCTTTACAACTAAAATCGAAACAGTCGACTAATTTCTTTCGATTTCCTTTCCTCTCGCATTACACTTCCCTTCTCGATTTTTTTTTTTTCTGGAATCTACCGCATCTGCATCATGGAGAATATTCAGCATGTAAATCTGGATCCGAATTTGGAGAACCCTATAATCGAGATCCTCAATCGATCCATGGAGGAGTGGCTAGAGAAGGAAGACCTGATAGCTCTGTATCAGCGACATGCCGTTCAGCAATTCCCCATATCCGAAGAAACCCCAGGCCCAGCGCCGTTTGTTGAAGGTTTGTTCATCTACGATGAAGATTTCTACGTTGATGATTACCCTTGGCGCGATGTTAATCAAGTGCGCAGGCGTAATTGCGTTTCGCGGAAGTTGGTAAAGATTGGTTCTTTTCTTCATTTTGTTTTGTTTCTATCTGAAATTGAATTCTAGGTTTTCTAATTGGGGCGTTTTTTAGGGCAACTCCACTTATCCCAGAATTGGGTATACAGAGGCCATCCTTACGTTGACTCCTGTTACAGAGTTCCAGAGAAGAACTCATCACGCCAAAATTGATGCAAATCAGAATCATCCGGGGCTTGCCATGGTGCATTATAGGGTCGTTGATGTACCTCCTCAAGTGGTAAACCAAAACGAAGTTGCTAATGATCAAAACGACGATGAAGAGAATCACGGTGGTCATGTGGCGGACGACTTGAATGCCAATGAAGAAGTCGGTAACCAAGCAGAGGGTGAATCAGACTTGGAGGAAGAGGACGATCTGGTTGGAGATCCAGATTATAACCCCCTAGATGATCAGGTTTGTGTTGGTTTATTAATCTTTTAATCAACCCCTTTGAAAGAGAAACTGTGTGTACATTAGACATTGAGAATCAGGGCTTAAATGTTCTTTCTTTCAGGATGCGGCCGATTCTAGCTCTACAGAGCCACTGCTCAAGGATTGGACTTCGACTGGAGCCATCTCCTCTGATACGTATGATGTGTTCCCTGCTGAGGCTACGAGCGTTGGAAACCTGCAACAGGTACTAGAAAGGTTTTCCTGAAGTTTATATGATTCTCTGGACGATGACCGACTGATATGATGTGTTTGATTGATTCCCTGGACGATGACCGACTGATAATGATGTGTGGTGTTGCCGTGTGTGTTTGTTGTTCCCCAGGTTCATGAAATGGCTACGGCTATAGAGGATGCCCAAGTGAAGCGAGTTCCAAGCTTGAAACTGCTCGAGGTTAGACATAGCCCTTAGTTTTTTATTCTCAGTATGTTTAGGAATACAAAGATTAGTAAGCTGTGAAGTAGAGGCGAGGAATTTGTTCTATCCTTTGTCTATACGGAATGCACTATGCAATTAGGAGGCTTTTCTGGTTTGCTTGTGGACATATTAGACTTTGTATCTGAAATGACAAATGACAGGAGGGTTGGAGGAAAGAACTGATGGCGGTGGCTTCAAGTTCTCGAGTATCCTCAACACCAGGCAAAGAACTTGTGGTGACGAAACCTTACAATTCAAGAGTACGAATATCCTGAACCTTGTCTTAAAATTTATTACTGTTTCATTTTTTCTTAACATCCTGTTTGATTAAGAACTGATGTTAGATCATACCAGTGTGTTTCTCTTTCCGCTCATATGTGTATAATCTGTCGAATAACAGGTGGTTATGGAAACAGTAGTAGAACTTGGTGAAACTTTCTCACAAGCCATCTTTCACTCTTAGCGATATGGCTACGGTATCAGGTATACAGGACAACTATCTGATAAAACTGCTGGAGGAGGTTAGTATTCTGGAGTAGTTGTGTGAATGCAGTATGCAACTAGGAGGCTTTTATCGTTTTTTTGTTGACATATTAATTCTGAAATGACAGAAGGGATGTGACTTACTTAAGAGCCTTGGCAAACCCAACGAAGTCACCCATGTAGATTTTGAAAGAGGTGTCTTCTTGTTGACAAACTCCTGCATTGGAAATTCTGTGGGCTGAGTTTGATATTGTGCGTTTGCTTATCAGTTTGTGTGTTTACTATCATCTTGCAGGTTATGCTTTTGTGTATGCTGAAGACGAGCGTGATGCTGAAGATGCAATCCGTGGGAAAGAAGGAAAGGCATCAATTGAATGGGCCAAGGTATATGGTTTGTTCTCTTCTAACGAATGATCTGTTCTGCTTCTTTCTTTGAGGGAGTTATAAGTTTGTTCTGGCTTTCAGGGTGAGCTTGGGAAGCCTCGTGATGGAAAGGGAGCCTCGAATCGGAGGCCTACTAAGACACTGTTCGTCATCAACTTTGACACAAAAGAGCGTAGACACTTCGACTCGTATGGTAAAGTTCTCAACGTCCGCATCAGTCGCAACTTTGCATTTGTTCAATCTGCGAACGAGGAAGATGCACACAAAACAGGTAACAACAATGCTTACTACCTATTTAAGAATTACTTGCCTTCTTTCTCTAACTCTTTCCATTACTGGAATCCTTAATTTCTTTGTTTCTCGTTGTTTTTTTTGTTTTCTAACAGCCGGTCTCCTGTTCGTAGAGCAATAGTTTGAAGATCAAGACGGTGTTCTGGAGCAATAGGATTCTATGTAGTACAGTCCGAAACTTTAGAAGTATAGAGTTTTTTACCACTTAGTAAATGCATTTACTACTTGAAATTGTAATTGTACGGTATTCTTTGCTGCTGCTACCACCTGTGCTTATAGTTTGTAGCTTATAATGATACATCTCTTTTGGAATTGGAATTGGAATACTGTCAAAGTTTGGATTATCTTCTATAAAAAAATATCTTTTTGGCCATTATATAAGTCTTAAGATATATGATTGGAAAAACATGATTAGATAAGTTACATAACTTAGGCAGCTCCTGTTCAGTGTTCATGATAGAGATTAGAGATTCATCTGTTAATCTTGCAAGCAATGCCCAAAATAAGCTCAGGTTATTTTTAAAACAAATGCTCACCGATAAAGGACCAGTATGGCCAATGCATATGTTGAAATCAGTTCAGTGTTGGCACCGAGGAAACGACTCTCATAACAGCACCAGGCCTTAACCAAAATGATGCTACGCTTGAACAGGTGATCCTTGGTCAACCTAAACAAAGCAACACAATCAAAGAGTTACCAAATAAGCTGAGGATATACAGATGATGGAAAAAACTGTTTATAAGCGCAAGGTATTTAAGTGTTTTACCTGCTCCAGGACAACATAAAGCACAGAGCCCTGCCGTTTGTTAGAAGGAGATTTCGACAGAAATGTTCCTGATCCTGCATTTTATGACCTTGACCTACGATTCAAAAACGCCAATGAGAGGAAAATCAGCATAAGCATTGATGAAATGAGTTTTCTTGCAGGGAAACTAAGCAAACCTGTGCAGGCACATACTGAACATCAGCATAAGCGTGATGAAATGAGTTTTGACTCCAAATCTAATCACACAGCAAGAAAACTCAACCAGACACCATCTGATACAGCATTCCTAAGAAGTGGTGACCGTAGGAAAGTTCACCAAACAAGATTTCAAATAAGACCCTCACATGTGAAAAATGGAGCACCAAAACTCTAACCTCAACTGCAAAACGGTCCTTTAAGAGAGTCTTTACTCGTTCCTACTTTGGTCTGAAACAAAGACAGGTTGGATGGTGCTGACAACCTCCTTAGCTCTTTCCTCGGCAAACATCCACAGTTCTTCTTCTTCTTCTACAAAAAAAATATCTTTCTATTTGTATAAAAACAGAGCATCCTGGTTATGTAGGAAGAGGTTAGTGACTGTACATTTTTTTTTCAGCTCATGTAGATATAAGTAGAGAACTATTATTTAAAGGTTGAGTTCCATTTGTATTTTTCAGGAATTTGTGTTGAACTCACGAGTCACGACGCATGAAGCTGTTCACTTGTGTATGGAAACCAGTTAAGCAAGAACCAAAGGCCTTGCTCTTCTTGTGCCATTGCTATGCTATGGAGTCCAGCATCACCATGAACAGTTTCGTCTCTCAAACTTTCTACTATGCACTTTTTCTTTCGTTTGATATCTCTTATCAAATTTTAGATATATTTACAAATGAAATTATGGGATTAATCAGGCGCAGCGACGAGGCTGGCCAAGACCGGTTTTGCGTTCTATGGAATGGACTATGAAGGACACGGAAAATCAGAGGGTTTAAGTGGTTACATCAGTAACTTTGATGATCTTGTTGCTGATGTCTCTGTTCATTACTCTACAATTTGTGTTAATCTTCTTTTGAAAAACCTTAGTTATATGCTTAAAATTTTTCATTATTTTACTAAACCAATGAATCTCTTTCCCCTTTCCACTAAAGTGGTGGCGTCAACGACAACAACACTCCGTGATATTGATTAACGAACACGTTTTACTAATCACACAGTTTCACATATTATGCTTTGAAACTTTGATTATTCTGCATTATATAACGATGAAAAATAAAAAAACACATCATATTCAACACTTGAGAATATTGGTTTTCTTTAGTTTAAGAACCTATGCTGTTTCGTTTTGTGGATTTTAGCAGATTGAGAGCCAATAATCAACGAATATTCCAACAGGAAACTAACTGCTGAAATAATGATACACTAGTAGAGTACCCGCACGTTTGTGCGGTGTGACGTTGTGGTTTTGTATAGAAAATTTAAACTCTAAATCCGAATCTGACCAAAAAACCCTAATCATAAATTAAAAAACTTTTTTAATATATCTAAACCCGAAATCCAAAAAATCCGGAAAACTGTAAACTGAAAAAAAAACTCGAACCTAACCTGAACAGAAATTTTCAGAGAAACCCGAACAATTTCTATATCTCTATAAAATTAGGTCTCAGATTTTCACTCAAACCCGAACTTGTCTATAAAAATCCGAAAATCCAAAAAGCATATTCTATTGATTTGGTAAGATTTCTTTTTTTGCAGATAAGGGAAATTTTCTAAACCATCGGTTTGTTTTAAGTTATTATTCTTGTATCCAAACAATTTTTTCCATTCTATCTAAATAGATTTTTCTCTTATTCTTGTATCCAAACATTACAATGTACTAAATTGATCCTAATTAAATCTGTTGTCAAACACTTTCTCTTCATAATTAGATTGGTTTTTTGGTCATAAATTTTTCATATAATTCTCAATTAATAATATAAGGATTGGAGATAAAAAAAAATGTAACCTAAACATCAGATTCCTGAAGCTGCAAGAAGTGGTAACCCAGGACACAGAGGACTCAACTCCGAGTAATTGGAATCATAATTGGCTACATTTGCTATTTTAATATTTAATGCAAAGCATTTATCCAGAAGAAACAAATATACAAGGCCTTTCGTAATCATAATTGGCTACATTTGCTATTTTAATATTTAATGCAAAGCATTTATCCAAAAGATAACAAAAAAAACAAGAACACACATCTAAAAATATATAATTTTTGTAGATTTCATTTTTCGCCTTCGGAAATATATACATTTTATTAAGTTTCAAAGCTGGAACTAAAGTAAATACAAACGCTAGCGAGTCTAATTGTTTAAAGTGAGATTATAGATTAACACAAACTAAATGTTTTTGAAAAGGTTTTCGTGTATTTCGAAGGTTCCAGTTTATTGCAGAAAATAAATATATTTTCGTTAAAAACCTTCAAACTATAGAGCTCGACAAATATAAATAATTATATAGTTTTAACAATACAGTAAAACCTCTATAAAACAATAATGTTGGGACTTTGAAATTTTATTATCTTATAGAGTTATTATTTTATCGATAAAACAATAATTATTATTTTATAGAAATATTCTATCAAAACAAGAAACTTTATAGAAATATATTTTTTCAGATTTTTTTTCAAATTTTCCTTATACTTTGTTATTTACATATTTCATGCTCAGAAGTTCAAAGTCTATAAGAAATTATGTCTACTGTTCTTAATGGTGAAGATGAAGTTGAAGATGATGAGGAAGGACATGTGCAAGTAGTTACACGTAAGGATGCAATTGTGGCTTCGAGAACTCTTCACAACTTTTGGCTGCATGTTGAGAATACATCTCCAATTTTCAGAAAATACAAACTACATTGGAGTCATATTTTACTAAATTGTCTTAGATATATATGCATTAGTTTTATAATTATTGTCTTAGCTTATTGTTGGGACTATATTTTTACATAGGAGTTTCAAAAATATTATTGTCTTATCATCTTATCGCATTATGCTATTTTTTACACTGGCCCGAGTTGGGACCGGAGAAAAATATTATCTTATAGTGTTTATTGTTTTATCGAGTATTGTTTTATAGAGGTTCTACTGTATTATGCAAGTAATAGTGTAATACTATGATCAAACTAGGCTCGGCCCAAATTAATTATGGGTCTTGTGCTTATCCAACAAAAACCTTCGTTCTCCTCTCCATAACAGATCTGGGTTCATATGTTAACGAGTTAGATTTGTTTTACATGTTAGATTTGTTTCCGCGTAGGTTGACAAAAGATCCTGTAATTTTGAAGAACGTGAACCGGAGCCGAGCATATGGAGATGGCGAAGAGGAAGGACAGACTGGCGCAGACAGACTTTGAATAACAGAGTGTTGCGGTCGGAATCATCCTCAGCTAGTTCAACATAGAAACAACGAGCCAAGATGTTTCATGCGACTGTTTGAAAACGGCGAGCCAGTTCAAGTTAACAACAAGCTACGTAAGAAAGAGAAAGTTAGGCTCATCGCGCGACGCGAGTAAGCCAAACCAAACATTGGACGAACATATAAAGGAAAACTTATCAAGATATGTCAATGGGGGTACAAAATACAAAAGTAACGCATGATCATATGTCATTAACTTATGCAATTAATCTTTTTATAACCTATTTATTAACATTAAATGATGGACTAATATAATAAGTAATTGTAAGACTTATTGTGTAGGCACTCTCATGCACTTATCCTAAACTAAAACGGACCAAGTAAAAATACAGAGTAAGAAGACTTATCTAGTAGACTTCACTATTATATACTTCACTGATTTGTGATAAAAACTCAAATTCAAGCATTTCTGATGCATTTTACCTAGCAGCTAAAACAGATAATGTTCAAATATCTAATGTCACTACTTCACCAACCCATAAGTGTCTTTGTGACTCTATCCACTATCTGATTCCTCGCACGGAGACTAGCCAACGGAAACTCACGACTCTCATCCAAAAGAAACCTATACACTTCCCACTGTCGATCTAAAGTCGAATGCCTCCCAATTTCAGCCTACAAGAAACACAATTCCAATTTTTTCAAAACCAGAATAAACCGCCAAAAAAAAAAACTTATCTTATATATAATATAAAGTATGATATACTTACGGAGAAGATGCAGATTCCTAGCGATTTCAAGGCGAGTGTGACATCGTAGAAAACTCGCGGTCTTCCTTTTCCAGAGAGCTCCACAGGGTTCGCTACTAAAAGCTCGGAATCTGGTCCTCTGTTCACGATTATCACTCGCAAAGGACACACTATCTCCTCCTTAAGACGAGAACAGAAGTTAGCTTGATGCTTCGCGTCCGCTATTTTCTTCCCGTCCGTACCTCTAACGAACAGCTCCAGATTCCTATACCCTTTAACCTTCGACGAGAATCTACCGTACGCAATCTGTTTTCAAGAAACAAGAACAAGAGACAAGAGGTTAAGAATAGGATAAGTTCTCTGAAGAGTTAGAGAGATGAGTGTAACGTACATGGACATTGCAGTCTTTGGAAGTCCTGAGGATATCATAGAAAAGCCCTTTCTGATCAACGCAATGAATCTGAAGCAACGTGTGCGCAGGGCTCAACTGGTTATCAACCGTGAGAACCGCTTTGTTGGAGCTACTGGAGCTCACATCAGACCCATCTGAACCAAACAGCTCGTCTGCAGCCACAGGCGGAAGCGAAGAGAATCGTTGCAGGCTCTCTAACTCAGGTCCAGCTAGCTCGAGCTCGCAGCTCACACCATGCTCACCGAGCACAGCCGTTAGATGGTCACACGTTTTGGTTTGTCTCTGTTTCGTGTGTAGTAGATCCCTGTTGCACAACAGAAGTTAACGTCTCTGTGAAGCAACAGAAGAAGCAGCAAAAAAAAAAGCAAAAACTCACATTGCGTCAGTGATGAAGAACATATCCAAGACTCTTCCGTCTGGTGTTGTCATGACTTTGACTCTCTGGATGGTGAGCTCTAGCTCTGTCAGGACTTTAGTAACATCTACAACCACCAAAAAAAATCAGAACTTTGATTAAACCATTTTAAGGGAAAAAGACAGAAACAGTTTGAAGAAGAAGAAGAAAGACAGACCGTGAAGCAATCCTTTCCTGTCGCGGCAGAAGAATTTGAGGAGGTAAAGAGAAGGAGGCTTTGAGACATTTGACTCAAGACAGAAGTAGAAGGAGCCTAAGCAAGACGGACAAGCAGATAAGAGACGGTTCTTCAAGCTGTCCCAATCGAGTTTAGGAGAGCTATGATCTGGAGTGACCCAAAACACTATGTAACACCATCGTCCATCTGTTGAGAAATCTGCAATCACAACATCAATTAATTAAAGTAATCAACTTTGCAAGAGAAATGGGTATTAAAAGGTAACAATAGAATTGAATTTCGAATATTCGTGAATCGTGAGTAAGGTAACCGACAAAACAGAGTATATTCCTCCATCCATAAACAAACGAAAAGTCAAATTGAAGTCGTTAGAGAGATTTAAGATTTTACCAGCTCTGGTTATGGAGAGACCGAATTCGAGGATGATTCTGCAGAGAGTAGAACCGAGACCGGATTCATCGGGGCAATTGACGGTGACGACGCTGGGATCGCCGGAGTTTTTTCCCGGCTCGATTAAAACGGCGTCGTCGTTGAGAATTCCCATTTTCGCTATCAGTATCACCGTCCGGATTTTTTTTTGGTGAAGCCAATGAATCAAAATTCAATGGCTGCCCGGAACAGAGGAACAAATCTCGGAGAAAAGGAGAAGAAACGATATATATGAAAAAAACAAAAACAAAATTGATTTATTTCGGGTTTACAGGTTAATTTGGGTTGTCGGGTTGCTTAGTGGGGCCTACGTGTCTAGTCATACACACGTAAGGAGAAAGAGAAAAGCAGGGTTAGGCATTGGACACGTATCATCTAATCTTTTGCAAGGAGGGTATTATCGGGAGTTCACGCTGGATAGGCTGCGCTTTATGTTATGACGGTCAATTGGATCTTTAAGGTAGATGGATCATTTTAGATATTTTCCTTGTGTGTGGTGCTAATACACTTCACAATCACTAAGCATGATATGATTCACAAATCACAATATAGAAACATCCATGATGATAACTGTAGGTTTTTAATTAATAAAGCACCTGTGGTGGGGTGGGAACTACATTAGTTCTATTAAATTTGTATTTTATAATTTTAAGTTGAAGTTTGGAGGAAAGAATTCAAAGAAATGTGAAGATAGTACTCCCACGAGTCCACGACATGTGAGATGCATGGGTTATTATAATGGTTTTTACTTTTTATTGATAAAATTATAATGACAATTGACAGGGAATGAATAAAATTTGCAAAATGAAATACATTTGTTTGTTGCAGTAAGAAAACTGCTTGGTTTTATAGATTCATGCGTAAGATTAATTGGTGAACTATTCGTAATCACTATAACCCAAACACTATTATTAACTACCTGTAGTGTTTATAACAGTCATTTTAAACAAAAAGTAAAATATCGTGTTGATGTTGTTGCCTTTTGCATTACATTCAAATTAAGTTCATAACATCCAACTACATATTCAAATCATACTTAAGAGACTAACGACAAAGCTTTGAAACATGATGGATCTATGTGTAGGACCGCGAAAATCCAGATTGGAAAAACACGAAATAAAATCTTATATAATAAATAATATATAATTAAAAATACGATTGGAAATAGACGAATTACGCAGAGGCGAGATTTGATCTCTTTCCTTAACTCAATAAATCTCCCGCAGTGTGGCGGTTTGCATGAGACTTTTGAATCCCAGGATACAACTACGTGAGACTATAGTCCCAACACCGGACTACAGAATCTACGAACTAAATAACTACGCTATACTCTCGAGACTTACGTTTAGAGGAGAAGAGATGCGAGAGATTTTTGATGGAGTGTTTTGATATTCGAGTGAATCAATAATGAGAGGGGTGAGGCCCTTTATCTATAGCTGTGAGAAGACTTGGTCGGCAAGGAAGGAATATCCGCAAGATATTCTCCTTTATG